TTTCCTAAATGGGTGTCATAAAACAGTAGTTCCAAAGGATGTTATTAGGTGTTTCCAGGCCCCGTTAGTTTGAAAACATGGTGTGCTAGATGCATCTCTTGCAGATTCCTATTGCACATTAGCGTATTAAAGATTTGAGATACCCCCAGGCATAGAAGCATGTTTAATCTTTTTAGCCCAGCATTTCCCAAACTTACTTGGGCAGGGAGGGTTTGTTGGTTGTCTACTTGTTAACAAGAAAACACTGGAAGAGATCATATGTTTTTTATTCAGGAGGTACTCACTGAGCACTAACTCAGCACAGGCAATGCAGAGATAAAAGGCATCGCTCATACCCTCAAATAACTTATGCAAAGACAATGTTCAGGTTATGTGAAGAGTCCTGTGACTGAGGTATACTTAAGGTATTGTGGGAACACAGAGAGAGGCATCTGATCTTATAGACCCCTATCTGCATCCTCAAGGGTTGGTTTTAAGTTAATGCATTTTTATTCATTTATTCCAAAATCTTTTTGAGCACCTGTTATAAGCCAGGCATGTCCTAGACCTTGGGGATTGATAAAGCAGTGCGCAGAACCGAGGAGAGTCCTTGTCTTCTTGGATCGTACATTCTCGTGGAAGGAGACAGGCAGGAAACAAGATGAATAAGTACAGGTGTACAATTATAGCATGGTGATAAGTGCTAAGGAGAAAAATACAGCAGGGAGGGAACAAGGGTGTGTGTGATGGCACTTTTTTAAAAATTTTTTTATTAACATATAATGTACTATTTGTTTCAGGGGTACATGTCTGTGATTCATCAGTCTTACACAATTCATAGTGCTCACCATAGCACATACCCTGGATGAAAGCAGGCTATTCCAAAGTCTGTCACCCAGCCACGCCATCCCTCCCACCCCCCTCCACTCCAGCACCCCTCAGTTTGTTTCCCGAGATTAAGAGTCTCTTATGGTTTGTCTCCCTCTCTGGTTTCGTCTTGTTTCATTTTTCCCTCCCTTCCCCTATGATCCTCTGTCTTGTTTCTCAAAATCCTCATATGAGGTGATGGCACTTTTAGCTCAGGTTGCTAGAGGTGTCTCACTTAGAAGGTCACATTTGGGTATAGATCTGGATGAAGTGAGGGACCAGACCCTGTGAGTCTCTGGGACAAAATGGTCCAGGGAGAAGGAACAGGAAATGCAAACACCTGACCGGAAGCGAGAACGATTGTCCTGTCTGAGAAAGAACAAGGAGACGGTGTAGGTGGAGTGGAATATGCAAGGGAGAGGATGACAGTTGATGAGGCCAGCAGGGTAAATGGAGTTAAATCACTTTATAAGCCTCCCATGGCCTTTGGCTTTTATTCTGAGTGAGGTGACAAAGCAAGGGAGGGATTTAAAAGTGCAGACCAATAACGGGATCTGTGGGAAAGGGGAACGGGTTTAGGCATTGCAAACAGTTCATTTTGACCAGAGCACAAAGGAAGGGCAGAAGAGAGGTGCACAGGGCCTTCTGCGCCCTGCTGAGAGGCCTAGATTTTATCTTGAGAATGATAGGGAGCAATGAAGAATTTGAATAGGAGGGACAGTCAGATCTCTCTTTAAGAAAGATCATTTGGCAGCGGTGTGATGAATAGATTTGAGGGTGGGAAGTGAACCTGAAAGCAAAACAGCCCAAAGCTGTTGATCTATGTAGGGCAGGAGGGAAGCAGGGAAGGTATTAGCTCAGGGGTGCTGGGGAGAGACGAGTGCTGAGGTTTGGTGTTCGGTGAGTTGTAGTGGGAGGCAGCAATCACAGATGACTCCGTTTCTGCCTGGGTTTCATTTTGGGTTGGTTGATGCCTTTCCACACGGGGATGCAGGTTTGAGTTAATGTGAAAATGAATTCCTATTGGAATTTGTACAGCATTTGGGATTCTTTATAGGATGTCAACATGGAGATGTTCATGAGCTAATTAGATACACAAGTCCGGCACTCAGGAAAGGGTTTATAAGCCAGTGAACAAACATTAATTCTGGATACCACATCTAGTTACTGAGTTGAAAAACATATAATTTGTGAGAAGACTTTATTTTATTCCTTTGCCTTTTTGGGAACCACTTTATATATGGTGGGAGTGGAAACTGCTGGCAGAATTTTAAGTGACTCCAGAGGACCATACAATAGATGCCAGGCTTTAAGAGAAACAATTTACTGCTCTGCTGAAATCAGTAGTCTTGGGGATCCCTCTTCCGTTTTTGGCAGGAGGGATGACTTTTTAGATACAAGATGTTTTTATTGATTTCTTTACTGCTTTCATTGTTTAAGAGGAAGTTCCTCTTGTTAGGACAGTTACACCATGAGAGTTTATGAAATTATATTGCTTTTAGATTCACAAGAAATGTTCATCCATTGTCTGGGAGTGACCATTTATGCAGCAAATATTTCAGTCCATTTCATTAAGTAAACAGGAAATTAGCAAATGGCTTATGGCCTGAAATAATTCATGGAAGTTGCTAATTCTAGGCAAGGAAGTTCAGGGAAGTATATGATAAAAGCAAGGGATTAGAAGTTAGAAGACCACAGTTTTGTTTCATCTCTTACTGCCACTTACTAGCCACAGATCATCTTTCGATGGTCAGGTTAGTCATCTGGAAAATGAAAGCAGTAACTCACTGTTGACCTGATGAGCTGGTGCATTCATCGAACAGGCGTTTGTCAGGAGGCACTGTTCTAGGGCTGGGCTGCAACACTAAATAGACAAGCATGGTTCTTACTCTCACAATTTGCCATGTTGTGAATTACAGCAGTCTGGAAAGTGGATATCAGAGCACCGTATAAATTGTAAAGCACTGTGAAAACATCATGGTGATTCTGGCTTTAAGTATTCTTTCCAGAAGATTTAGGTTCTCTTCTCATTTGAGTGATAAATTGGTAGAAATGGAGATAAGTGGTAGGTTTACACACAGACCTTAAACCCTTGCCAAAAATTAACTCAAGATGCAACATCGTCCTAAACATAAAACTATAAAACTCCTGGTAGGTAACATGGGAGAAAAGTCCAGATGACCTTGGGAATGGTGATGACATTTTAGATGTAACACCAAAGAAAGGCACCACAGTGAAAGAAATACTTGATAAGCTGGACTTCATTAAAATTGAAAACTTGGACTCTGTGAAAGATACTGTCAAGAGAATAAGACAGGCCACAGACTGGGAGAAGACATTTGCAGAAGACATAATCTGATAAAAGGCTGTTATCCATAATATACCAAGACCTCTTAAAATTCATTACCAAGAAAACTAACAACCTGATTTAAAAATGGGCAAAAGACCTGAACAGACATCTCACCAAAGAAGATGTACAGATGACAGGCATAGAGCATATGAAAAGATATTTAACATCATCTGTCATCAGGGAAATGCAAATTAAAGTGAGATAACCACTTCACACCTTTTAGAAGGGCTAAAATCCAGAAAGCCGACAACACCAAATGCTGATGAGCATGTGGAGCAACAGGAACTCTCATTTGTTGCTGGTGGGAATGCAAAATGGTGCAGCCACTTTGGAAGACAGTTTGTTTCTTATAAAAATGAACATGCTCTTACCATGCAATGTGGCAGTTTTGCCTCTTGGTATCTACCGAGGTGAGTTGAAAACTCATGTCCACATAAAAACCTGCACACGGATGTTTATTCATCACCACCAAACACTGGAAGCAACTAAGATGTCCTTCAGTAGGTGAATGGATAATCAAACTGTGGTACATCCAGACAGTGGGACATTATTCAGTGCTAAAAGGAAATAAGCTGTCTTGCCATGAAGAAATGTGGAGGAACCTGAAATGCTTATTACTAAGTGAATATGATTATAATTAATTATGATTTCTACTATATGACATTCTAGGAAAGGCAAAACTGTGGAGACAGTAAAAAAAATCAGTGGTTGCCAGGGGTTGAATGGGGGGGGTGGGGGGTGATAAATAGGTGGAGCATAAAGGATTTTTATTAGTGAAACTATTTTATATGATACTATAATGGTGGATACATGTCTTTATACATATGTCCAAATCCATAGAATGTATAACATAAAGAGTGAACCCTAATGTAAACTGAACTTTGGCTGTAATGACGTGTCGGTGTGGGTTTATCAGTTAGAACAAATGCATCACTCTGGTGTGTGATGTTGATAGTGGGGGGTCAGGGATTATATGGGAATTTTCTGTGCTTTCTGCTCAGTTTTGCTGTGAACTGGAAACTGTTCTTAAAATTAGTCTATTTTTTAAAAAGTGGTTCTCTCTGGCAGAGGAGATACGATGCAGGTGAGCCTTGCACACACAGGGTAGACAGTTATTAAATGTTTGTTGAATGAATAAAGGAATGATGTTAGGATTTGGAAATTCAAGCAGGTACTTCTATCTTTTCAGAAATTTTTTTTTTCATTTTAAGAAAAGTGGGAGTAGTTGTGTCTGGCACTCACAAGAATCCATACAGAAAATTTAACTCCAAATACAAAATATTGATTTTTAGAGAGTGCCAGAGTCAGCACTATATCCTTAGATTTCAAAATATGAATTAGAACAGTTTCGTGCCATTGGAGAGTGTTAGACACAACGTTTCTAATGGTGAATGAAGCAAAATCTCAAATTTAGAAACCAAAATGATTTATTTATCTTGGGAAGTAAAAAGAAGATTAAGGTCCCAAGATTTTATTTATTCATAAAGCATGCAAAATGAAAGTCCTTTTTTCCCAAAGAAGTTTAATGGGAAACAACTTGCATGATAGCTCATGTAGCAATTAAATGAAAGTGCTGTACTCCCTGGGGTATTTTAAAACTATACAACTTTGGGTCAATTTCAGATAAATGTTAATATCCACAATACATTTTCAGAAGTTCTAAAGACCCTTGACTGTGACACTATTTTTATAATCATTTGCACAAAATCCTACATGTTGACAGTAATCAGCATTGGCGAGAACGTGTGAAGGCTGCTTCAGCACTTCTTAACAGATGGCCTTCTCCATTCATTTTCTTCTCTAGGCAAACATGCTGAAGACATATTTGGTGAGCTGTTTAATGAGGCTAACAACTTCTACATCAGAGCAAATTCTCTTCAAGACAGAATTGATCGCCTTGCTGTCAAAGTTACCCAGCTGGATTCAACAGTGGAAGAAGGTAGGTAATTGCATGAAAGCAATGAGCTAGAAGTGATGGTGACAAGACGGTAGTAATTAATTGCAGTGTAATCACTGCTTTTTCCTTGGGGTAGTGTACTGATACTTCATCTTGTCCTTTCTAGAAGAATATTGGGGAGGGCACAATATTGGGTAAGGTAGTTAGAGTCTTGTTTGCCTCATAGATGCCATCCATACTCTCTTTTTAAAAATGTACACGTATAGTATTTGTTTTATAGAATTCTTTGAATATTTTTGGTATTAGAAACCCTAGTTTAGGTCATTGGTGATTCTTTTAAAGATACTTTCTTACCTAAAAATCACAGAATCACTCCAAAGATGTGGTCCAACTAAGAGGGAGGGTGATACAGACACCCACGTGACTGAGTGAAGGTGTCCACCTGCTACCCTTGTTGGGGTTGATGCCTGTAAATAATCGTGGTGATCCTGCTGATTTAACATCTCAAGAAATAGCATTTACTGATGGCCTTTAGGTGTCATGGTTGTAAAGTAAAGTTAAAAGTGGTAAGCACTGTGTAGGTAACTGATAATCATTTTGAGGATATACCCTGAAATTGTGACAGTTTCAATAAAATGAAAATTCAGCAACTCCTTTTTAAAGATTGCACTTTCTGTATCTTTTGGATGAGAGACTGAGATTACACTGGAAAAAAAAATCTGCAAAAAAAGTAGAAGATACAGCATTTCATATTTATTTGAGAAAAATGTTCAGGTTAATTATTTTTACCTTTATATAGTGGTAGTTATGATTTCTTTTGTTGCATTAAAATGGTCTTAGTATATGATTTTTCTACTAGACTTAACAATAGTAGTAGTAATAAAAAATGGAAGTTTTATTTTTTTTTAAAAGTGTTTTAGGGAATTCATCCCTCATCATTTAAAAAAATGTGTTTACTCCCATTCAGGTCTTTTTCAAAGATCAGTATTAGTGAATTAGAAATTTAACAAAAATGTAGAGCATTGAAATTTTAATATCCATTATGATACATTCTTTAATCTGATTTTTAAGATTTATCTTATTTGAAAAAAGTAAAACCTTGGATAGCTATTTGGTCTATTCAGATAAGAAATTTTAGCATCTTAAGCCAGTCATTCATTTTCACATTGGTATCACAAATGATTTTTAGTGTTTATTCATCTTCCTTCAGTTCTTTGTGGGATCTTGCAATTGGAAAACCAGTGATAAACCTTGTGCTGGAAAAGGTTAATCTGTACACTAGAGTCCTTAAGATTTTACAGTATATCTCATATCCTTAAAATCCCTTCCACTCAAGATTTACCTGATTTCTGTCTTTTGCATGGATTTTATAGTAGAAAAAACATTTGACCAAGTTAGGAAATCTGTGTTCTATTTTGGGTCTGCCTTTTCTCCCTGGGTGATCTTGGAAGAGTCGCTTTAACACCCAGCTCTCAGCTTCATTGGTCAAGTGGGTTAATGGACCAGGTTGCCCAATTCAAAAGCTTCTGTCAAAGTTAGATGAGTTAATACGTGAGATGTGAAGTGTTGCACAAACACAAGAAATAGGTATAATCAGCCCTGATTTTCTTACCCTTGAGTGTAGTTTTATATGCTGCTACTTAATTTCTAGGACTATACGTATTTTGAAAAGCCTTGCCATCTTTCCTTAATGTTAGTGTCAGGAGAACTTCATGCATTTTTTACATTTGTGTATTTTTTACAGACGTATTGCCTACATGTATTACATTCAGCTGGTATTAACTGAATATTTTTTTCCTCCAGGATACCCAAACCTTTGTGTTTACATGCCTGTTATACTGAACTATATTCCTGCGTGGTTTCTGAAAAATGCTATTATAAAGAATGATGTTCTAATGTTAAGTTCAGAGAAATAATTAGTTCACTACAGAAGAAGAAAAGACGTGATTTGTCTTCATTTTATAGAGACAGCTGTTATTTATAAGAAGGAAGGAATGTACATGCTATGTAAGCATGGTTTTAAATGAACAATAAAAACATGATTTTGCTATTCTAGAATCATAAATTCTATTTGTGATTGTGTCTCAAATGAGACTTATTGCTAAACAGTTAAAAATATTTCAATATAACTCAACCTGGGGGGCTTTTTTCTAAATAGTGTCACTACAGGATATCAACATGAAAAAAGCTTTCAAAAGTTCCACAGTCCAAGACCAGCAGGTGGTTTCAAAGAACAGCATTCCTAATCCCGTTGCTGACATTTACAACCAGAGTGATAAGCCACCTCCTCTGAATATCCTTACACCATACAGGTATGGCTTCATGTATTCCCAGTGCCTTTTTAGTCTAGATAAGCTGAGGAAGGAGGACAGTGCTGTGGACATAGTTTTTCAAACTGAATATAATCGCAGGTATTATATGCCACAAAATTAGTTTACCAGTACAGAATTGTTAAAGGTTTAATATTTCAAAATAGAGATAAACTCACCAAGAGAAGTATGAGCTCTAATGTTAGCTTTGGTGGATATCTGTAGTAGGTAGCTACTTTTGTAGATACCTGAGTGTAGACATTTGAAGTAGAAGTGGACACATTGCATAGTATTATGTGTGCTTATGTTGTTCCTCATATTCAAAGTCCATTTGAAAGGAACTGCATAATTCATTTATAATGCAGCGAAATACCTTTCTCAGCATTTCAGCACTGCAGGGACGTTTGTTATTTAATTCAGAAAAAGGTATGCTGCAGCAATAGGGGTTTTTACGAGTGAATAATACAGTCAACAAATTAACCTGTTACTCTAAAATGGTGGGACACGGTATCAGGACCAAACTTTCCAGAATAGGAATGGAAAATCAGTAGTGCAAAAAATTAATTAAGGAACTAAAAATGCTTGTTAAAAACACCTCTCCTACCTCTTACCACATTAGGGTTTTCTTTCCATATTTTGTCACCTTCATCCCCGTCTCCCTTTTCCATATACCTTCTCACTGCCCTTCATCGTACAGCTTGTTCCTCTCCGCCTTTGCCCTCCAGGTAAGCTCATGCCCTCAGCCTCTGATGAGCACAGGCTGTGGTGGCGGGTGTCCTCACAGCCCGCAGGACTAGCTCCGCTGGCTGACAGACTCCCTTTACCATCGAGTGGGTTCTCTGTTTCTGGTGCCACCATCTTGGGCCTTTGGTCCTTCTCAGGGAGTGCCCTGAGGTTTTTTTGTCTGAATTCCTGTTCCTTCTTAGGGTCTAAAGGGAGGTGTTTGGACCCACCCTCTGTTGCAGCTCTGCTAATAAAGCAGCAGTTCCAGCAGCATCCCTTTCTTTCAGCACGGAGAGAAAATGTAATAGAAAGCCCATGGAAACTATGATGGGAGAGGGCCAGTGGGCCACAGCTTTCTAGGAGTATGCTTTTCTGGAAGTTTTATTTAGCACACTCATCTAAAAATTAATGATCTACATGAGTAGCAGTATTGTAAGCCTGATGTTCTATCTTGTACTTTTGCTTTCATTCAATAGGCATTTTGGGGGGAGGGGGCAATTTCAGTTTTATTTAGCACTAGAAGCCCCAAGGGCAAGCCTGTTAAAACTTTCCTAAGAAAGTTTCCTCAGTAAATATTCTGTTCTAAAGGAAAAAGCCTAGAAAACTCAGTGGACCACTTATATTTGATGAATTGAGATCATGATTAGATACTTGTGGTGATAGACAAATTTTAATTGTATAAAAAATGAATTGACTTTCATATATATTATATGTGTATATTCAGTTTAATGGAAAATAAAAATGTCTGACTTTTTAATAGTGTGCTTAAGAATAGCTGTGCTAACTCAAATGTACTTTTTGATAATAAAGTAGTATTTGAGGTATATAAAACACTGAAGACCGTGTTAATATATGAGCATGACAACATGACTGGAAAGTGAAGTATTTGGTTGCTATCAACATAGGACATTGCTGCTTATATTCTTATGTTGAGATTAATATTTGTTTATTGACATGAGCTTCTGCCTTCGCTAAAGTATTAACTCCCCTTTTTTAAGAAAACTGCATTTTATATGTCTTAAATTTTGTAGCAAGTAACTGTGCATTTTGTGTCTTAAATTTTGTAGCAAGTTACTGTTCAGCTTTTCTGTATCTTCAATCCATTCAGAAGGCCTGGTATCTTTGGGAGGCTATATTTTTCACAGTAATGTTATTAATAAAATCTCTATAATGCAGGTCTCCTATCAGTTAGGAAACTTGGAAAGGAAAAGAAGGGTTTCAAGTAATAAAGATTGAAGTGTAAAGTGAATTGCCATGGCTAGTGATTTTCAGGTGGTTGAGGGGCCAGAGTAACACCTATAGGAACCTGGGCCTTCGTTTGTGATGAACGTGGCATAGCAGGAACATCAGGGACCAGCAGGCAGGATTTTCCCCTGGACTCATTCAGTTAGTTTTCTTTGACTGTTTGGGCATAAACTCTTTCTTATGCTCACCTCACTGTGCCTCATTTCATTTTGCTTTTCTCTGTGCCGTAAATGACTTATTGAAACACTGAATTGAAATGTAAATGCTCTGCTTCCTCTTGAAGGTAATCTACAGGCCAGATACTTTTTTAAAGCATTAGTCGTATAGAGCGTTTAGTTCGTGTTAGGATTATTTTGAGCTTTCCTATTGATTTATATTACAGCTTGGGATTTGTATTGGTTTTATGATAGATGAATAACTTATATAAATCCTTGAAATAGTCCTTAGACCACGGTGGTTGTAGCAGGACTTGAAAGTGAAATGCCACGAGTGAATTCTCTTTGTGGGTTACTTCACCTTCCATCACACCTAATACACTGGGAACATTTTGCTTCTTTCCGAATTGAATTTATAGATGTTGGGCCAACCTGATAAAAGGGACAGCGTCCTTACTAATTTTTATCCTGATAATATTGAAGCTCCAGAGTAGAGGTGAATATATACACACCAAGAATCCATTCATCTCTATGTATGACTCCTGTTGGAATAAACAAACCATTTCCTGAAATAATTGAGGTATCAGATATCATTGTTTATGAGCCATATTGTGATTTTGATGCACTTTTCTGTACTTAAATCTGAATTGTCAAGAGTGCTTTTTATGTAATTATTCTAGAAAAGTTGCTGTTCTTGCATGTTCACCCTTTTTTTTTTTTCCAAACAAGGAGATCCAGAGAGACTTAATGTGTAGGACAAAGTGCCCCATGTAGATGTTACCATCTCATGAGTTAAATTAAGTGAATATTCACCCCACATGAAAATGTCTAACAGCCTTTTCCCCCAACTTGTGCTACATTGATTTACAGAGATGATAAAAAGGATGGGCTGAAGTTCTACACTGATCCTTCCTATTTCTTTGATCTCTGGAAAGAAAAAATGCTGCAGGACACAGAAGACAAAAGGAAGGAGAAGAGGCGTCAAAAGGTAAATAATTCTAGTACGGGAACTTGTGAATCGATGTTTAAATGGGATCCCTGTTTAGAAATAAGTCAGTAAGTCCTTTATGTAAATGGTTGAGATGTTGGATTTAGTGAAGTACAGGTTTCATTTTTTACATGAAGATACTGGCAGTTCAGTCTAACACAGTAATACTATTTTTCAGTAAACACTGCCTGATCTGTTCCCTACTACTTGTTTTGCTTGAATAGAAGTAGTGACTGGAAGTTTTGTTTGTAACCATGTTTTATAACTTTTCTCCTGCTCTTTAAATTTAACAAAGCAGTCAACATTTCATATCAGATATAATGACCTGCTCTCATCTCTTTAAAGCATTCTTAATTGGTGCATTGCCATCTCACTATAATTAACACCTTAGGGAGATAGATGTTCATATTGGATTGAAAGCGTGTGTGATCTGTACATTTAGGGCATAGTATTTACCAAAAAATGAAATTCCTTTTGGTGGGGTGTAGTAGGCAAGTGACTTGCAAGTCTGAAGGTTGAGAAACATCCACATTATGAGCACTCTTGGAAGAATAATCACACTCTGCCCAGGTTTAGGGACTTCTATCTTAAGAACTTCCCCTCTTTAGCACCCAGAAATTAGACTTAACCTCTTGAGAGTTAATTCTCCAAAGGCAAATATTTGCTAAGACTTTTATATGTAAACTATGTTTTTAAAAATGAGCACCTGGTTTGCTTGACAAATCTTAGAGTGCTTTCATTAAGACAAATTCTTAGCATGTTGTGGGTTAGTGACCTTAGTGTTTGGAGGCATCTTGATGTACTGGCCCCATAGAAGCAACAGTTTGGGATGGAAGAGAATTTGAGATTTGAAAACAGGATTTAAGAAAGGGAACATAGAAACAGTTTGGAGACTACAAGTGTAAGATGTTCCCTCCGAAATCCAGGAAAGAATTGTAAAGGTTGATTATTCATGCTCTCTTTTTGTACTGTGGGTGGGGAGATGAATGGGAAAATCTTGGAAGAGCTGCTGAGTGTTGAGGGGAAAAGTATTCAAGTGAAGAAAGTATAAAGTATTTAAGTGAAGAAAAGAAAGATCCTAATCTCTTGACTGGAAAAGAAACATATCTAGAGGCTGGTTGGTCCCTATACCTTTTTATACTAACAGGGATTTAAGAATATATTCCTTTAAAACCTGCCTGTCCTTTTAAATGGTCTTCTAGGTTTCCCTTCTCAGTGATACTTTAAGCAAAAGTATCTAATTTTTTCAGCAGTGTTCTTCAGGGGAAAACAGTCTTAGTCTATGGATGATTATCATGTCTTCAAAATTATGCCATTTCCTTGGCTGTTTTGTCTCATTACACATTCCTCCAATGCATAAAATTCTGATAAGAATTTCTTACTCACTTATATAACCCTCACGGAGATTACAATGTAGTGGGGGAAACAAACATTAAGTAATCATGCGGCCCACTGGAACTCATAAAGAGGGAAAGAATTTTGAAAATTCTAATACAAATATGCTTTTATTATGTAGGAATAGAAACTGGAACCAGCTATCCTTCATTTCCTAGGATTTCAGAAGTGCAGGTTACTTTCAGTTTGGAGCTGAAAAGTCTCTCTGAAGGAAAAGTTAGTTTAGAAAACTTGGGGATGAGAAATCCATTGTTTCTGAACTTGGTTTCCTTAGTTTGCTGGTTTAAAAAACATTTTTTAAATGATGCAAATAAATATGTAGTTGTAAGTGTGTAGTTACAGTGCCTAGTAAATGTTGTGAAGGAAAAGTATGGCGTACGGTGGGTGAGGTGACAAGGTCGGGGGGGCAGGTAACCGTGTAGGTGAAGTGGTGTCATTCACTGAGTTCCAACAGTGGGGAGTCAGAAGTCAGCTAAGCAGAGTCAGTGTGTGTGTGTGTGTGTGTGTGTACGCGTGCGTGCATGCACATGCGTGCATGAGGGGATGCTGGAGGAGTTGGGGGCAGAGGAGGTGTGGGGTGCTTCAGAATCGAGGAGCGTTTGAGGTAGAAGCAGCTAGGATCATCCCGGGCTAGGAGACAGTTGGGCACATTCATACAAAGCCAGTGTAGTTGGAGTACAAATGCATCACTGTGAACCCTTTTCACAGTCGGTTTGTGCGCACGTGTGTGTGTGTCATGTGCATGATGATGGGTAGATTTGGAGGCTGAATTCCTGTAAAGAAAGTTGCAGATAATCATAACACTTTATCTAAATACGTCAGCATACGTCTTTTATTCAAAGCAAGGGTGACAGTTACTGATTAATACAGTGGTTCTTAATCAGGACGTGTATTGAAATCCATTGAAATCTCTCTCCTTTTGGTTTCTACAAGTATACAGACAATGCATGCTGGTTGTAAAATGCTCACATTACACTGAAGTAAATACATTAGTTTAGAAAATTTGGAGATAGGTTTCTCCCTTCCCCAGGTATCACCAATCACTAGTAACGATTGAGTGTGCACATTTTTAGACCTTTTAAGCATTCATAAATATATGCATACATTTCACAAAGTACTTTTACATGCACAGAATTGTACTACACATGACTTATACACACGCACATGCAGACATACACATATATTGACATAATTAAAGATGTTCTTTGTTCTTTTTAATAGTTGTATAGTATTCCAAGGTATGCATGCTACATAAACTATTTACCCCTCACTGTATTAGGACATATTTCAGTTGTTCGTGAATAGTTGCTTAACAGTACTGTGGTACTACGTGACTCACACGCAGATATGTCTTCTGGGTAAACCTTCAGAAAACAAATCTGAGCTTTAAATTTTGAAAGATACCATCATATTGTCCCTGACCATTAAAAAGACTGAACCAGGTTATGCTCTTAACAGACTTCTTCCAGACCTGCCTATCATTATTACTTTTTTTGATGCACTCATCCCCCCGCCCCCCAAAAATCTCATTTGCATTACATACCTTTTCATATCTTTATTAAGCATTTATATATGTTCTGTGAATTCCGTGTTCACATCCTCTGCCAGTACCTCACCCATGCCTCCTGCACCAACAGGATCTTCTCAAATGCCTCCACAGCGCGTCAGCCCTCCCTTCTCACCTTCAGTGGTTTCCCATTGCTCTGGGGATAAAGAACAACACTTTTGCCCCAGCCTGTGAGGTCTGGCCTACCTTTTATATCGCAGGAGCCATTCCCCCTAACTCCCCATGACCTTCTTTCATTCCTCCCGATGTGCCTTCTCCTCAGAGCCAGTGCACATTCTCTCCCCTCTGGCCATGCACCCAGCCCCTTTGCCGAATGGGTGCCTGCCCACACGACAGAGCTTGTCACAGTGCCCCCAGGACACTCCCTGACTTCCATGCAAGGCAGCATTCAGTAAACAATGCATTGGCGTTTTACCGTATGCTATACCTGTACATTTGTTTGTGTGATTTTGTGGGCCTCCCCCACTGGATTGCAAGCTCCATGAAGGCCGATTCCTTGTCTTTTGTGTTTGTCTGCTGTTTGCATCGTCAGCGCCTGACACGGTGCCTGAGACGTTGTCGTGAGCACCGTAAGCTCACCCAGATCTGATGGCTTAGTCAGCATTTGTGAGTGTGTACTCTGTGTGAAGTGAAGCTGTGTGTGGAGGTACTTTAATGGGAGTGTAGGAGTTAAAAGCACGTAGTTCTCATCTTTAAAGACCATAACCTCTTATTTGGGAAGTATGAAACACACATACACATGTAGGAATAACTGTCCTCACCTTTAAAGAAACACCGATGTAGGACCCAAGTTTTTATTGGATACATTTTTGCTGGCAAAGTAGGGCTGGAGCAAGACTGATTCTCTGTATGGGAAGGTAAGTTCTTATCATGTTTTTGTTCTATGTTAAGCTAGTTGCAGGATTAGCTTAAATATTCTGTAACAATCTTTTAGAACCTGGCAGTGGAGTATTTTGAGTGATTTTGTGAAAAGATGATTGCATATTAACATTTCAGTCGAAATTGTGTACTGGTAGGACATGATTAGTCAATATCTCAGACACTCATCTGTATAATGCAGATCTAAAAGATCTAGTACATTTAAAACAAGCTAAAAACCTAGTAAGATGCGAATTCTTTACCAGAAATGATGGTAAGCGATTCCTGGAGGTAGCTGCCACAGTGTAGCTTCTGTTTATTTAGGTTAAATGGTTAAGTATCAGTTACCGCTGCTGGGTCTGTGTCAGGTAAGAGAATATATACTGTGTTAGAATTTCTTAACGTTAGTGTGATCTGAAATGGGAATGTCTCTTGTCTGCATGCCGGGCTTGTATCCCGTGCATTACAACTGCATTTAACCTGCTCTTTTCCTTTCCCTTCTGTCTCGGCATGCTTGCTTTCTCTTCCTGGACATCAGGAGCAAAAGCGTATAGATGGCACAACCCGGGAGGTGAAAAAGGTTAGGAAGGCCAGAAACAGGCGCCAGGAGTGGAGTATGATGGCATATGACAAAGAGCTTAGACCCGACAACAGGCTGTCTCAGAGTGTGTACCACGGAGCGTCTTCCGAGGGATCCCTGTCCCCAGACACTAGGTGTGTGTGCGTGTGTTGTAGCAAAGCCTCCGCATAGTACTTGGTTTTATTATATGTTGGAAACACACCAGTGGCTTTGGTGTTTATATGGCCCACGATATGTTTCAAAAACTTTCCTTAAAAATTAATGATACATATTTTTTGATTCTGAAATAATACTTGAAAGCGGTTTCATTTTACATTGGGTTACTTTGTATGATTTTCCATCGCTCTGACTCAAGTTTTTTGTTCCACTAACCTAGATGTAGTGTTTTTAACATTGATGCTAAATTTGGGCTCAGTAACTACCAGTGGCTTACATTTTTATCTTAATAATCATTTAATCCTTTCTCTCCCTCTTTAGCTTAGAGTGTTGAATTTGCTTTGCCACTTGATAAACTAAAAATAATTAGCAGGTGGTAATTGATGTGCCTAAGATGGAACTTTATTATTCTTTTTGGAAACCTTTTCTAAGAGTGATGAGCAAAAGAGATAGTTATTTCTTCCATTTACTAATCTTATGTGTTCTAATTTCAGGAGAAGAATTCTGTTGGAGTTACTTTAAGAATTTGTAAGCATTTAAGTAAAAATATTTCTTGCAGGTGTGAGTGATGTGGTCACTAAGTCACATGTGTTGCAAAAGGGACTCATGGAACAACATAGACTCACTAGTTAGTTTGTACTTCTAGACTAGACAGTTTAATTTCCTGCTTGTGTAAGGTCGTGGTCTTCTACTGGCCAGAAGCTTCAGAGTCTTCTGTCAGCATTTCAGAATTTGAATAGAGAATTCTTACGTGACTCAAGAATGTTTCAAAAACAGCAACAACCTGGACCTTACGTTATATCTGTGTCCTTTTTTCTTAATTTTTATCTCTATAACCTCAGTGTCTAACACAGACTCTGCACACAGAAGATATTTCATATTTGGTAGTTACTGTGCCCAAAACAATCCCTACCCCAGAAGGGCTGTCAGTCATTGGTTGGCTATGCTAAGAGGCAAGTTCTAGGCAGTTCTTCTGTACAAGCTGTTATCTGTTCAGTACTAGGGAATTATTGGAGCTGCATCAGAGTGTTCACCTCAAGTGTGAATCTCTATGTCCTTTCATTTCCATAGAAAATAATAATGATGATTCAGGTTTGCTCACAGGTCTTGGGGTGAGGAGGGGTACTTGAATATGATAGATAGCCCCCAGGGTGTTTTTTGGGTTTTTTTTCCCCCAACTAATTTGATTGTGATTATTTACTCATGTAAAACTTATACTTTATTTTATAATACTCCATATATATTCTTATTTAAGTAGGTACAGATGGAAAAATGATTTTTTTTTTAATCCCACAGTTGAATGATTGCTATTCATTCTAGCATCTGAGATTCAGTTTTTCCGTGTTGGGTATAAAATTGATGATTACTGAGATTATTTGGTATTCTGCCTTTGTATTTATGTTGTTTAGATAAATATTCATTTCTCTTATTTTTCAGAACGTAAATCCTATTTCCTGCGGCCTCTTACTATCTGCATGTACCAGATAATAGATTGTACTTGGATCCTATCCCTTAATTTAGAATCTTTTATTTTTTATTTTACTGAAGTGTATCACTTTTTTCTTATTATAAAACAAGTTGAACTTCTTATATTTGGAAATGACAGAGAAAAATTATCCATAATCCTATCATCCAGAGAAACCACTGGTTTGCATTTTAGCGTATTTCTTTCTTTGGTCGTTTTTCTATACATATATGTGTTTTTCTTTTACAAAATTGACATCATGCTCTGTTTTCTATCTTTTGACTTTTGTTATTTCATATTTATGTTTTAAGTGTTGTTTAGAAACATGGTTTTTAATGGATGTATAGGGAACAACAGTTAAATTTAAACATCAGATTTCATGGCATGTGTATGATCTGTTCATGTAAGTAATCTGTTTTAACCCAATCCACGTAAACTAACCATAGAATTTTGCTTTCTCTGTAGATCAGGAATGGTCTGATTGTAAGCGTAAATTTAGGATGAGAATGGCCATGCTTCCCTCCTGCCCTCTCTCACCATTATCAGGCGGTGTGAGACCTCCAGCCCAGTGTCCTTGTACTCATGTCCTCCTTTCCTGGGCCCCGTGCTGCAGCTGTCCGACTGCCCGCCTGTCCACCCACAAGAAGACCCCAGGGGAGTCTTTGGATTCTCCCACTGAGTCTCCACTGCCTACACTTCCTTCCTCCTTTTTCCACGCGGTCTTCACTCTTACCAGTTCTCTTCTCTGTGACAGATAATTAGTGCCGATCATGACGCTTCAGCATCATCCCACTCATCTCCATGTTGGTACAGCATCTTCTGTGGCTGATTGCTAACTTCCTGTGGGGGTCTCTGTCCCCCAGCAGGCCCCCTCCTCTCCACCTCTCCTCCGGCCCGCTGGTGCCCCCCTCACCGAGCAGCCCCTCTCGAGCCCACCCTTCCCCAGAGCCCTGCCCTCTAGAACTCTCCCGCTGCAGTTCTGGTCCTCAGCTGCTCACTGCCTGCTCCTTACTCCCTCCTCCATCTGGTCTTCCCCTTTCTCTGGCTCCGTTGGGGCTCTGTCACAAAGCCACTTTATGAAGGTAGCACTCTGAATCATGCCACAGTGTTTACAGTTTCTGGCTCCTCCTCTCATCAGAAGCGCTCTGTGTTTTCCTAGATAACTTTGTTTCCTTGAGAAAGTTGTACACACAGTCTGTGACATAGGCACGCACACAGAGTCAAGCACACGTCACCAGTGACTCCAGAGTTCTAGGTATTTATGTTTTTAAAATGTGCTAAATCTAAAGCCAGGTCAGGTTCTTCTCCCATTAAAATTTTTTAAATGTTAAATATTTTTAACCCCCTTGCATAGTTTGCATAGTTCAGAAGACATGCTCCTATGCATGCTGTAATCTGGAATTTATGCTGCGGTTAAGGAAGGAAAAGTGGGTTGCCAATTATTATTACACTGCAATCAGGGAAGAAACAAAGCAAAAAAAAGCAGCCTTTTGTCGTTTAGGATGGTTTTCTCTGCTGTGTGATGCTCCAGTTAGGGAAGCTGCTGTCTGAGTTTCAAAGATAGAAACTCGGTTAGTGTCTTCCCCGCCCCACCCTCTACCTCCCCAATGTGTGTTTGCCTGTTTCCTCCAGAGAGAGAGACACAAGCTGACCCCTCACAGAAGCCAGCAAATACATGTGAGAAGAGTAAGGACAAGAAGAGAGGAGTGGGAGAGAAGGAAAATGGGCATTGAGTTCATGAGTGACGCCAAGGAGCTGGTGCAGGCAGGGGGCGCCACCGAGGACACGGTGCCCAGAGGGTTCGTCATGTCGCTCTCCCGGACCCCGGCCTCAGCTTGCCTGCCCTGCTTTGGCTGCCCTGACAGGTTGCACAGCCCCTTTTCTGATCCCATGCGTCCCGGAGCTGGCCGGTAGCCCGGGCCGGGGACACGCCGCTGTCCTTACTAATGCCTGTGGCCTGTGTGGCCGCCACCCTCACGAGGCCGCGCTCCCTCCAGGGGGGCCCCCCCCCCGGCATCCCGGCACCTGCAACTTTCCAGGCTCTGCTCCTCTAATACCACATCTCCATTCCTTCCAGAGTTTCACGCTCCGCCGTCAAAGAAAAGAAGTCCTTTCCATACTGCACTGCATTCTTTTCTCTTTTGGCCAAATACAGCCCTTCTGTTTAAGAAAACTACAACCCACTGAATTGCATTCTTGATTTCTTTTGCTCTTCTTACTGTTCATATTTATCCAGTTCACCTGCCATTTTATAATTTCTAATTATATGCTGTCAGTTCCGTTGCCACTGAAATCCTGTCTCAGGTGCTGTTTTTTAATTAAATGGAATTTGTCTTGTAGCCTTCTCTCAGAAAAAAAGCACGCTGAAATATTGCGGAAACGGGGCTCTGCTGTTTCCTGCTTGCTGATCTGTCTGACTTAGTCACTTCAACGCTGTGACTCTGAAGCCATGTAACACTGGGGCTTGCTGCTAAAGTAGTCATTATGTTGTTGCTTGGAAGCTCTCATGGGGCTGGACCTAGTCTATAGTAAAGAAAATCAGTGTGTGATTTCTGTACATGGGCAAAGTTATCATTCAAATAATATGCTTATGCCTGCTGGAGGGGAATCTTTTTAACTGAATTTTGGTTTCTCCCACCCCTCTCTCCTGCACGTCAGGTCACACGCATCGGATGTCACAGATTACTCTTACCCGGCAACTCCCAACCACTCTCTGCACCCGCAGCCCGTGACCCCTTCTTACGCGGCCGGGGATGCGCCACCGCACGGGCCAGCAGCCCAGGCCCCCGAGCATGAGTACCGACCCCCCTCCGCCTCGGCAAGGCACATGGCCCTAAACAGACCCCAGCAGCCGCCGCCGCCACCCCCACCGCAGGCCGCAGAGGGGTCCCAGGCCTCCGCCCCCATGGCGCCAGCAGACTACGGGTAACTCAGGACTCCTGTCTTCTACCTCTGCTTGCTATCATGTTGGGGTTTGCTATGTGTGGTCTAAAAATGTTAACTGAATAATCATACCTTAGGGGACAGATGTGGCCAAGGATGACTGGATGTAGATACTACCAGTATGACCAATTCTGTGTTAAAATATTCAGTGTCACACTGCTCCCCTTTTTATTACAGACAGATCTCAGGTTTGTATCTGTATTCATGTATACAAACTCCCTTCATACGTACTTTTAGGTGTGTTTGAATGCATTGCTAAGCCAAGGCATTGAGAAAGGATGAAACGCTGATTTTGTGAACCTGTCCCAAACTCTCAAGCCTCTGTCTATGTTCCGGGTGAACCACTGAGAGTTCCTATCACAAGTGAGGGAACTATCCAGGGCAGCCACCCCTTGACCCCCTGCTCGTACTTGACCATATAGTTCCGTTTCTTGATCTCTTGGTGCCCAGATGTCCTTCTACCCCCAGGTCCGGTCCTTTTGTTTTCTGTCACTTGGGTAAAATCTAAACACCTCCTAAAGAAAGACTCTCATGCTCAAGTGTTTAGTAATGTAAGCACCCACCTTTATTTTGATAGGCTGTCTTTTGTCCTCTCTTTTCTGGCTTAACCGTAATCTTTAAAGAGTTAGCCTCTCGGAGACAGTGCCCGGGAAAGTTGAATGTGTGTGTTTACATTAGCATGTGTGTTCTTCAGTCCACAGCAGCGTATATCACCTTCTAAGTGTACGTCCCTCCACTTTCAGAGATTCTCTTCCATTGCTTCTCTTTAAGGGTCCCCAGAGTGTGTTTGAGGCTCTAACTAAAGGTCTGGCAAAGAGAGGGTCTGTGGTCCACTTGTCCAGTTGTTTTGGAAAACCCTTTTCTAAGTAGGATTCAGTGGACTTCTTAGGTGTAGGACTTTTCAAAGATTTTGATATTTTAATGGCCACCGTGGGCTTGAGGAATTTCCATGGGGATGAGATACAAAATACAGAATTTTCCAAATCTGACTGACCACAGAACCCTTTTAAGACAAGTTTGTGAGCCACCCACCTTTGAGATGCCCAGTATGAAGGATAGATTTGAATTGCTCTTCATAACCTTTGTAGTCAACTGTTTTATTCTAACCTTCCACAGAAGGTTACTTTTTAAAAAAGATTTATTTATTTGAGAGAGCGCAAGCGGGAGGTGGGGGATGGGCAGAGGGAGGAGAGAGAGAATCCTAAGCGGACTCCACGCTGAGCACGGAGCCCCACGTGGGGGCTTGATCTCAGGACATTTGAGATCATGACCTGAGCCAAAATCAAGAGTGGGACGCTTAACCAACTGAGCCACCCAGGTGCCCCAAAAGTTACTTTTAGAGTGGTTTTCTTTCTGGTTCATTTGAGTAGATGAATTTCATCATAGTGAATAATGTAGACCTGTAAGAACGACTGACCCGAAGTGTGGATATTTGCATCCTGCAGTGTTCTGAGTTCAGAGGACAATATATATTGTGTTTGCGGGAGGCCCCTGAAAAAGCCATGTTCGACTCACAGAGGATGGGACTCTGTTGCTGCTTTAGTGACTCTGTGTATTTCATCTCTTTATTAGGATGCTGCCAGCACAGATAATTGAGTATTACAACCCCTCAGGACCTCCTCCTCCTCCACCAGCCCCCATGATTCCTTCAGCACAAACTGCTTTCGTCAGCCCCCTGCAGATCCCCATGCAGCCCCCGTTCCCTGCCTCCGCGGGCTCCTCCTATCCGGCTCCTCCTCACCCTCCCACCGCTGGGCTCGTGGTCACAGCCCCGCCACCTCCGGGCCCACCGCCTCCTCCACCGGGCCCCCCGGGCGCAGGCTCTTCTCGCTCGTCCTCCCCAATGCATGGCCCCCCTGCAGCTGAGGCAAAGCGCCTAGAGACGGCACAGCCACCCATAAGTGATGCTCGAAGCGATCTTCTCGCTGCCATTCGAATGGGTAAGTGAGCGTCTCAAACACAGTGTTCCTTTTAGAAAGAGACTTCTTTATGGCTCTAACCAGCTACAGCCTAGTCTTCTTCAAATGACTGCTCTTTCCACTGAACTGTTTTTTAGAATAGGGTTAAAGGACACTTGTTTGATTTTGTTTTTTTAACAGGAGACCTGTTTTTGCCAGTGCAAGATAAATACACAATAATAGAGTATCGAGAGGATTCAGGAAAGCTGTACTTGACTAGAAATAGATAATAAAAATGATCATTGATTAATTGGATCTTTTCTCTGCATCTACTCTAAGGGTAAATGTATAAATGAAAGAAAGTGAACTCGTATCAGTGATTGAGTTATTTTTAAAAAGCTGAGCTATGTCCTAGACTTTCCATATTTTTAGCTTGATGTGCTAAGCCAGTAAGTTTTTCAACATTTATTTAGCAGCAAGATTCTTTTGTCGGATAAAAGTCCTACACTGAACCCCAGAACATGAGACATACAGAAATAGAGCCTCTCTGGTCAAATCAGGATGGAGGAGCCCAGACGCTCACCCGTTTTGGCATCCCCTCAGCACCACACACTAACCATCTGTTCCACCCCATTTATTCTCAGCCCCAAGCCCACAGCCCAGGCCGGTTGAGGGTCACTGACAGGATGTGCGGATGTCCTAGGAGCTCCTTATTCAGTGGGGAGTTGCACCATCTCTTGGTCACAGGCTCGTTGTTTCCATCTAGAAGGGATTGAGAAAGGCATCACTGACGTCCTTCCCAGGACGGCTGGGACATTACTGCCTCTGCTTTTTGCTCGAGTGCCCACAAATCAGACCCGAGTGTGGCACACAAGCCCAGCCTTCTCGTAGGTCTTCAACGTCATTGACACACTTGGATTTTGTCAAGAAAAGAAGTCCCAGAACTATGCGACCTCATTGATAAATTTAGGGTCATAGTAGGACAGTGTTTTTGTTTTTGGATACCTGTGAGCCCCTTCCAATAAGAGTGATCATGTAATCAGGATCTAATCATGAGGAAACAGGAAGCCCGCATCAAGGGACAGTCTACAAAGGAGCTACCTGTGTTCTTCAAAAATGTCAAGGTCAGAAAACACAAAGACTGAAGAACTGCCCAGGTTAAGGGACATTAATGAAAGATGACAACCAATGTAATGGGTGTTCCCATGTTGGTTCCTAGGCCTGGTGGAAAACTTTCTGCTGCTAAGTCTACTGGCAAAATTTAAATAAAATTTGTAGAATAGATGATAGTATTGTATCTGTGCTAATAGTCTGATTTTTTTTTAAAGGTTTATTTATTTGAGAGAGCGAGAATGAGAGAGAGAGAGTACATGAGAGAGGGGGGAAGGTTAGAGGGAGAAGCAGACTCCCCACTGAGCAGAGAGCCCGATGTGGGACTCGATCCCTGGACTCCAGGATCATGACCCGAGCCGAAGGCAGTTGCTTAACCATTTTGATCATTGTTTTTTAGGATTACACAGGAAGTATTTTAGGGGCAAAGGAACATTATATGCTACTTATTCTCAGGTGGTCCAGAAAAAAGTGTGTGTGTATTAGCAAGAATGATAGAGAAAGGTTGCTAAAACGAAGTGGTCAAATGTTATCAGTTGGGGAATCTGGGTTTAGGTTTTATGGGGATGTCTTTCTACAAGTCTTTCTTTTGTGGGGGGAGGGTCGGAGGGAGAGGGAGAAAAGGAATCTTAAGCAGGCTCTGCGCCCAGCATGGAGCCTGAATCATGGAACCCTGAGATCATGACTTGAGCCAAAATCAAGTTGGATGCTTAACCGACTGCACCACCCAGGCGCCCCATTTTTCTACTAGTCTTACAGGGACTCCATAAAATCTGAAACTGTTTCAAAGGAAAAAATTAAAGAATTAACTTTAAATCATCTTTGTTACCTACTGTTACTTAATAAGAAAGTAGACCATTCTATTTTATATTAATTTTTAGCAGTAGTTGATGAAACAAAGATCTCCGTTACCTCCCTGAACTGGCCAAAAGCTATTAGCGTAAGATGCTGCTTTCCAAGCCTTTGGATTACAGCAGTGTCCAGGATATGTTCATGATAGAAGTGTTCCATGTTTGTATGGTCCAATAAGGTAGCCACTAGGCACAATAAATTTACCTTATTAGCCACATGTGGCTACCATAATGGAAGGTGCAGCTCCAGAATTTTCTTTCATGATGTTCATGTGCACTGGAATTCTAAGTTTTTTTTTTTATTTCAACACATTACTACAAACAGTGTTACAACTTTGAGTACGTTTTTGTTTTTGTTTTTGTTTTTTTGGTCACAAAACTTCCATTTCCCAAGCTTTTCTCATCTCAGGTTTCCAAAACTTTTTACCTTTGGTGTCAGTGGGGTGGGAGAAGGTAAGTAGACTTATTAGTTTGTTTTCCCTAATTTGGAGCAAGTAGAGGGATCCTAATTCTCCTCTTTGGGTTGTGTCCCCAGGGATTCAGTTGAAAAAGGTGCAAGAACAGCGTGAGCAAGAGGCCAAGCGCGAGCCAGTCGGGAATGACGTGGCCACGATCCTGTCCAGACGCATCGCCGTGGAGTACAGCGATTCTGACGACGACTCGGAGTTTGATGAGAACGACTGGTCCGACTGAGGCGGCGCGCATGCGCAGCAAGGCGGCACGCTGCTGAGCCCGGCGGCCACCACGAGACCGTGTGTCGGAAATGTCTTGAAAATTTTAAGTGGTCTCAGCACCCACATAGTGGTATTATAATCCTGTAGCTTAGCACCTTTTGTATTAATAATGTGATATTGCTTTTGCACATCCAAAAATTCTGGGTTTTTTCAGTATTTACTGTGTAATACTTAAGTGCCACTAAACATAGCAAATTGTGCTGCACATGAGGAAATATGCTGTAACTATCGCATTGTCCTGAAAACAGCCTCTTGCTTACTTTTTCTTGGCCATGAAAGTACTTAGTGCGGTTTGGATTTCCTCTTCTTGATCACTATAATTCTGCAGACTTGCTGTGTGTTTGTGAAGCTGCCTGGTGTTAGGTCTTTGCAAGATTTATGACCGTGTGTCAGAGTGATGTCTTCCAATCAGTAAGTGGACCGTTTCACCCTTTTTTGTTTGTTTCAAATGTGTTTCCGAAGAAGTTGGTTCCAGAGGGAAAGATTTAACAGAGTCAAGCGTTGCTGCTTTCCGTTTCTTGGCTCGGTCGCCTCTGTGTGAATCGGAACGCTCTGTGAGATGATTTGGTTTCCTTTGCACGCTCTTGTGAAATGTGAAATTGGAAGGATCCTTTCCAGGCAGGATTCCCTGCGGGCACTCACTTGGTCGATGCTTGTTGATGATTTCTGTTTAGAAGTTCCAGCCGCTGCGCAGTCATGAAAATGAACAGGGTTCTTTTTCCTCGGCGGCGGGGCGGGGGGGGGGGGGACGGGGGGGGCCCGGGGGAACCCCGGGAGCCCCCAGGGCCCCCGGGGCCCGCCCCCACCCGGGGGCGGCACGCGGGGGCCCGGCCGCTGCACCCGCCCCCCCCCCCCCCCCCCGCCTTTCCCCGGAGCCGCGTCCTAAGTGAGGCCGGTGGAGTTCCTGGCTCCCCGGTGTGCTTCAGAGAGTGCTTCCCCATGGCACCTCGCTCCACTTGGTCTGGATTTTAAAGCTTAGATTTTAGGTGAAAGTAGATGCTGACAGCTATTCGCTTTTCCTGGTGCTGTGGCCAGATTAGGGATCCATCACCCAAGTAGGGCCTTGGCCCTACTCCTAGAAGCACACGGTTCTCTTTTCTCATGTTGTCCTCAGCACATTAAATTTTAAAAAAGTACCTCAGATTAGATTAGACGTGTAGCTGTTCCAGATCACTTTCCTTTCACCTTAGCCCTAACTGCCGTTCTTCCCACATGGCCATTCGAGAGACCCCCCGGGGTTTATTATCTTGGTGAGAGCAGAGCACTGGAAAATAGGATGGCAGCTTTGCTCTTGTAATCTTGGGTGGGTGAAGGGTAACTGCGTTCAGAATCAAGAAACGCCCCCAGGCTTCGATTATAGATACGACTTCACAAATATACTAAAATACTTCAATTACTAGGGATTCTTACCTACATACAGCCTTTCAAACGGATGGCGGTTATTTGTGACTGTCATGATGAAGGAGTCTTTAGTTCAAGACAGACTTGTCTGGTTCATGGTAGTCATCTAAACAGGACCATGACCAATGGATTTTTGTTAATGAGTCCTCCTGAGGACTTCAGCGGCGCCCCCAAACCACGTCTGTGTGTCCCCAAGTGGACATTGATTCAGCTTGTGGGCGGTCATCATTGGGCTTTAGTCATGTAGATTTTGAAACTCTGAAAAGCCTAATGTCTGCAGCCCCTTCCCGAGACCATGCTTCTATCAGGTTACCTGAGGCTTTTCAGCTGTACTAGCCATTTGGGCACATGCTTCTCGAGTTTCTGTTTCTTGGAGCTAGTCACTATAATTTTATTGAATATAAGTGGTAGTTATTAATGGACTTTTACATTTCTTTCTTTGATTTCTCCTCCCCCTTTTTTTCCAGCATAAAGGCCTACTGTGTTGGCATTATTCTTGGGACTTTTACCATTTGTAGTCTGATTTTATCTTTATTACAGTATTTTGTTTTTTTGGTTCCTTTTCAGTTAGGAATTACTTGTATAATTCTAGAACTTCTATTTGGTAACGCTTCTTTGTTTTTTATGTCCCTTCTGTTCTCAGGATGAAGAGAACACATAAAGCTACTATCCACGTCAGGATTTCTTCTCTTTATATCTTATTACAATAAAATTACTGGCACTTTATCCATAAATATTCATAAGCCTATTATTAGTTGTCTTCCTGTGGTTTAAGCAACAAGTTATTTTTGACTTGATTTTCTGACTAGTGAAAACCTTTTGCCCTAATGTGTTGCGTAGCCTTTAAAAGAATGGAAAATGACTAAAATTCAGTTTAGATTATTTTTGCAGTATTTTTCTCAGCAAATCTGATTTATCCTAAAATTAAATCCAGACTTTTTCTAATGTGCTATTACATGAAAAGGAAAAAGTGAATATTTTGAATTTTCAGTTTTCATTTTCAAGAACTATTTACCAAAATGAATGGAGAAAAACGTTTAAAAGCATATTTCATATCTATGGATTTTACATTTTTCAAGTAGTAGTTATAATATTGTAAGGTTATTTTAAATTGTCCTCAGTTTTTTCCCCCCATGTGTATTTTAGATTAATTTCTTACAAGCTTTTTTCTCATATCATAGATTAGGCAAGGGGATGACAAGGTTACTCGGTACCACACATTAGCTTACACAAACATAACGTGGTTGGTTTTCCATTGTTAACCCCAAACCATGAGATTTGGTACACTTATGTTTTTCTTTAGTGAAAAGTATATGGTTAGAAAATTAACATTTTCACTTCAGTAAATTTTAGAATATCAAAATCTTTTCTGAACACCAAGTGGCTAGGTTGTGAAAGTTTTGTAATAATTTGCAACTGGGATACATGATACATTTTAATCCATTAAAGACTAGTGGGAATGTATCAGCCAGAGTAGCAAGTAATTTTTGTTTTATAAATCAGAGTATCTGTCACCTTGCAGTATTACCAATGCTGTTGTAAATTGAATTTAAAGTGGTATTAAAAAACAAAAAACACACCTCCTGTTAAACAATTTTTATCTGTTTGTATATCTTACTATAGATTATGTACAAGTAACATCTAAATAAAATTACACTTTTAACCCTAAAAGGTTTTGCTCATTGATAATGGTGTTGTGTGTTTAACCTTTTTTGGAGGGGAGAAGTTGGGGGTTGGGTGGAGTTTTTAATTAGCATTTTCATTATGAGATAGCAAAAGATACCACTCTGATTTCCATTTAAATTTCTGCATAAGTTTTGCATATCCAAGAGTTCAGATTGGATTCTGGGAGTGACTCGGGAAGCACTGGCATAATTAGAAAAAGCCTTTCTGGGAGCAGGAAGCCACATGCTCAGATGAGGTGTCTTGGCCACATCTAGTCTCAGTAATAGTGATGAATACTCTGTACCATTTATTGCTTATGGGATGCTTTCATTCAGTCCTTACAATAACCCTTTAAAATGGGCATTCTCTCCATTTTATATATGAGCCAACTAGCATGAAGTTAAGTTGCTGGTCAAGGGCCTTGGTTGACATCGAACTCACTCTGGGGCGAGCGTGCACCTGGGGGACAATGGGAACTGAGTCGGGAAGGTAGGTGTGGCCACGTTTGGGAAAGCTGGCTGGAATGAGCTTCCGGAACAGCTGCCTCTCAGTTGCCCGTGCCCGCTGTGTCCACCTCCCACAACACGCGTTTCCCAGAGTTCTAGCTGGGTCTCCCTGCAGCCTCCCCTCCGGACAGCGTGTTTCGTGAATACCGTCTGCATCTTTGTATCTGGAGAGCACATGGCCAAACTGGTAGACGGTGAGCAGCCCCTTGTTGAATGACTAGGTGAATGGATGGATGTCAGAGTTACTTTTTTACCAAAAAATGAATTGTGTGCAACTTAAAAAAAACATGAAATATTTTACCCTGTAACCTGTATTCCCCCTTATTATATACTTGTCATTTGATGAATAGGTCCCACTTTCTTTTGGTGTGTTTCCTACAAGACTGAACTTAGTGAGGCAGGCATGGGGCCTCTTATTTACTCTTATATGCTGTTTACCAAGCACAGTGCCTGACACTTGATAGGTGTCGGTAAATATTTATTGACTGGTTGTTGTTTGTAAGGCAGAGGGGGAGGCTTCTTCATCAATAAATATGTGAAGGCCTAAGAAGAGCTTGGATGCAGTAATAGGTATAGAGCACCTAGAACAGTGCCTGACACTTAACAGTGTCTGCAACTCACTTGGGGAAGATGGAGGCCAGTCTCCGTCCTCATGGAGCTTCTTGTCTAAAGAGAAAGACAAACATTAAATATTGTCAAATAATTTTAGATCATTTTACATGTACTTTAAGGGGTGGTGTAAGGAGTGCCCAATCTAGTCTGTGGGCCAAGGGAAGCTGAGGTCTAAGAATGAACAGGAGCTTAGGGGTTGAGGGAAGGGAAAAGAGTTTCTCAAGAGTGGGACAGCATTTGCCACCCCTACGGTGGGAAAGACAGTATGGCATAATAAGGGGAACAAAGTATTTGAAGTGGAAGAAGCGGGAGGAAGAGGGACGTCATGAGACCATATACAAAAATGGTAGACACCTTCCCATGCCCCGCACTCAGAATTGAGGGAGCTTTTTGAGCCAACAAACACCACCACAGCTGCAGCTACAAATGTACAGAAAATGTCTTCCTATTTGCAGCCTGATGGTTATTCACTGATCTTGACAGCCTTGGGCCTTAGACTAATGGTATATTTAGAAGGCACCTCAGTGTCCAGCTAGTCCAGCTCCCTAGTGTTAGAAATGGGGTAACAGACCATCACTCGCATTGCTTGGGACTCCAAGCTTGGTCTCTTAGTTCTTGAGTTTCAAACTAAGGTCCTTCTGTTCCACACTAGACCTCAAGAGTTAGGTAAACATCCCTCCCCTCAACATTTTATTGTGAAAAAAATTGAAATCTACAAGAACATTGTTTAGTAAACGCCCATAGAACCATATCAATCCATCTATCCATTCATCAATCCACCTTATTTTATGCATGTCAAAGTAAGTTGCAGTACACTTACCTCTGAGCACTCGGTATACATATCATAGAATTTAATATTTATAGATAATATTTAATACTTTTAAGGTAAAAAGTAAAATGCAACATCCTACATATACCAATGAGTTGTAACAATGTGTACACTCCTGTAGTGCAAATCCCATCAAGACAGCATCCCTGTGACCTCAGAATGTTGCTTCATTCCCTTTCAGGGTCTGCTCTCCTTTGTCCCAGTCTCTGCGGCAAACACCATTGTGGGTTTTTTTTTTTTTTAACTATAGATTGAAAAAAATAAAAAATAAACTATAGGTTGATTTAGCCTGTTGAAGAACTTTACATATATGGACTAAAGCAGTCAGTACCATTTTACACCTTTTATTTTTTTAAGATTTTATTTATTTGAGAGAGAGCATAAGAGAGAGATCATGAG